GCGGCTGTTCGTTTGCATTACCACCAAAATCAGCTAGCCACAAGTGATAGATAAGAATGGCATAAAATAAGGCAAAAGTCACCGTTCCACGATACCCTGCTGCCATCTCGGCATCTTGTTGACGAACAGCTGCTGGTGTTAACGTGTTAATGCAACTGTTTGGTTCGTTCGCAAAAGCGGCTGTAGTCATTGTTTCAGCATGCTTTTCACCATGGCCTCTCTATGCATGGGTGAGAATCCCGTCGTGATGCTGCTGGGATAGAATAAAAAGCAGCGGACACTTTTTGAATTTTGAGAATAAACGTTCCTTTGTTTTGCTAGTTCAGATAGGCTATATTTTTTCGATTTCACAACAACAAAATTTTCGCTTCAACGAAATTTTTTTCTGCACCCCTTTCGTTGTAGCAGGGTTCGACTGTATTATATTCCAAAAACACAGCGAGCGAGATCTCTTTTCACCAGAATTGCAGAGAAGCCCTCATTTTGACCAGCTTTCCTTCTAGCTGGAGCTCACTCAACAGCTGCTGGAGCTTGATGCGAAGATGTTCTAAGAGTGAATCCTTTGCCAGAAACAGTGGAGCACTTTCCTAAAAAGACGCCCAGAAGGCATAACTGCCAAAAATATTATGAGGAACGCAAAGTAGAGTTCAAAAAGAATGTTATCAGTTAGAAGTGTGGTGTACACTTATGTATTACAAGCACAAGGAACTGCTTCACCGCATGGCATGAAAGTTGAAGTGGTTTCAGTATTTTTCATATACCTGAACGATGACGCTGTACAGCCCGTGCACTTTGATTTATCAGGTACTTGGGTAATTTACCTTCAAAATATATATTTTTATTTTTCTTTGTTTATTCTGCTCTTGTAGATATTCTGTGTTTTTGTTAGTGTTCTTCAAAGCTGGTACAAAAAAGGCACACTATTTAATTTTTCTTTGTCACATCATTTGTTTTTGTTTTCAAATTTATGTTTTTTAAAAAAGACTGCTTATACAGAATTTGGTGTGTCGCGATATGTCCTGTGACGATTGTTGTGCTTGAAATTAATTTTTTTCCAAGACATATAAAAAACCACCATTTTCGCATGGTAACGAAACAGTTAAAAGTCTTTGGATATTAAACAGACCGACAACTACCAAAAACATGAAATAAGATGACTGCACAAATGGAAAGATTGTCCCTCATAGTGACTGAAACCAACCTTATTTTTTTCATGGGAAGTGAAGTTATATCTTTATTTTTTCATTGAATATCATGAAAATAGCCTGTGGCGCCACCAAGCATCAAAAACTTCAATTATCCGAGCTGCCCTGTCACATGAAAACTAGAGTACGTGGTCAACAATATTCGTGTTAGTATTGAAATATTGTTTGCTTTTTTAAAGTACAAGATATCACTCCATAAAAATATTCTTGTAGGCATGCATTAATAGTACCCAATAAACTGGTGCTGCCTTCGCATGACGTAACGATGCCGTGTTCGTCAGCGCATCTTGAGCAACTTTTCTACGTGCTCATGAAACCGTGCATGCAGTTTTCAAGTCCCTAAGATTTGGGAGTGAGGCGGTTTTTTTTTCCCAAACTTTGTCTCAGAAATGACGCGCAGTGACGTTTTTGGAGACTTGACTTGGCTCGTGTGTCAAGAAAGTAATGACAACGGGACAAGCCATCTACAACACAGGTGCATCAACCTTGGGCACAGGTGCATGCAGCGTGGTACAAATACAAGAAAGCTGTATAAAGCCACATTGCACCTTTGTAACAACTTGTTACTTTCAAAAATAGTTGTTAAGCTCATAATAAATGTGGTTAAGCATAGTTACAGGAACTCTTGTGAAAGCAAAACAATGACAGCATGCATAGGTCACTAGAAGGGGCTACAGGCATCTCTATCAATTCTTAGCGTTCCTGGACGAAAATTCACATAGGTGTTCAGAGCCTCTAAAATAAAAAAATACTGCTTATAAAATAACTGCGTGCTTCTGAGAGCAACTACTGCAGCTGCGAACACTGTGAAGGGCAAGTTTTCGGTCGCGCTGGGAAAAACTGGATAGAAAAATATAAGTTGTCGGTCCCTTCAATGGGGTTAGCTTTAGGGCACCACTTCTTGACTCGCTTGCAAAGCGCGTCCCACCAGATAAAGTAATGACGACGCACACCCGTTGGCCCAGCGACGACCCTAGCTATTTATCGCGGGGACGACGCAACTTCAAGGCAGAAAAATATTTTATGTGCTATTTCTATTGCAAGCAACGTGCTCGCAGGCAGCGCTGATATTTGCAGCACGTCGACTTAGTTCGCATGCAGTACACGCTTTCTGCTAAGTTCCTAAAATGCCATAGCCGCTTTTGCTGTTTCCCATAAAGTGTTATTGAGTACAGGAATGCATTTTTGTTTTTAAGTTTCACCGTCCCGCCGATCGGCATCCTCTGCGGTCAGCAAGCCTATAGGCGCACGGCATTGTTACTTTGTTATGTCGATATTGTCTTGCGAGTGTCCTGACCTAATGAATATGCATCTCACACTGTGGTTCAGGGCTATAGGGTGGGCACGCTTGTTGGCCCGGCAACGGCCCCAGTTATCTTTTGCGGGAATGACGCAACTTCAAGACAGGAAAATATTTCGTGTGGTGTTTCTATGGCGACCAACGTGCTCGCCAGCAGCGCCGATATTCGCAGCTTGTCGAGTTTGTTCGCATGCAGAAAACGCTGTACACGCTTCCAGCTTAAGTTCCTGAAAAGCCGTAGCCGCTTTTGCTGTTTTCCGCTGAGCGTTATTGGCTATGGCAATGCATTTTTGGCTTTTAAGTTGTGCCATCCCACCGATTGGGATCCTCTGGGATCAGCAGACCTATGGGCGTGCTGTGTTGTTATACCGGTGTCACACGGGCATCTTTAATCGCGATCAATGCCAATCCAGATTAACCACTATCCGGACTAGGTGCTGCTATACAGTCACTTTTAATCACGATCAGGCCTGATCGAGATCAAGACTATAGCAATCCGCAGATCGCGATTTGGCTGAGAGATCGCGATTTGATGTCGTCTGCAACCCTTTGGCCGAGCTTTTTGAACGCAAATGAATACAAAACATCAAGCATAGTTCTGTAAAAAATACTTTCTTGGCGGAGAGATCGCGATTTGATGTCGTCTGCAACCCTTTGGCCGAGCTTTTTGAACGCAAATGAATACAAAACATCAAGCATAGTTCTGTAAAAAATACTTTCAATAAGCTAGATATTTATGTATAAAAAAATTTTAAACTGTTTCAATTGAATAAGATATCTGTAATGTTGCATATTTTAAGATTCATATTCACCACACGTAGTTATGGAAGCAACCGACGATAAGCAGACAAGTTCAACTCTTGTCTTTGATCTCTTGTCTTGAATTTGATTCGAGGTGCTCCAACTGCTTGGAGACAAGCTCCAAGCAGTTGGAGCACCTCGAATCAAATTGATTAGGAGTGTTGCCAGCTTTTCGACTACATGCAAGCAAGTGCAACTCTCGCTCCCTCGAAGCAGTTGGAGCACCTCGAATCAAATTGATTATGAGTGTTGCCAGCTTTTTGACTACATCGCAGCGTACGCGTACTTTGCTGTCGAATTAAGAGACCTTTACAGTAATTCACCACTCGCAGGAGCAACTGGGAGACTTGAGGCACCAGAAGTGAAACTCTGGCGTGTACGAAATTTCCGTTTCGCTGCAACTGGACAGCTACGAGCAGGTGTCATGAGAAATAAAAGTGAAGACTAAGAATATCGCACAGAAATACCCATAAGTGCAAAGAAAACTCTACCGAATGATGAAATTATGAAATCACTTTTGTAGTGGCATGCAAAGTTTTTGACGTTCGAGTGGTTCTTGCATGAATAACATATCGGTGATTCTATTGAAATATCGGTGCCTCTATTGAAACACCATACGCTGAGTTTTGTCAATGACATGTCTGACGAAACGCAAGTGCAACGAGTGACTTGGTGCTTTTCATCTGACCCAAGCCCAAATTGGATTAGCGTGGGCCGTGTAGCAGAGGCCACAAAGTTTGAGATTAATAAAACCGATCCAGATCACCCTGATCGCAATTAAAAGTGCTCGTGTGACACCTGTATTACTTTATCATGTCGATATCGTCTCATGGGTGTCATGACCTAATGAATATAAACTTACACCGTGGTTCAGAGCTATAGGCACAGTACACTTGGATTTTGATTGATGACAAAAACTGCAGGTGGCTATCGTGGCCTTCATTTCTCGCTCAAGGTAGCGCAAATAAGAAAATTTTGAGGCTGGTCAGGCATTTTGGTGCAGTGTGGCACAACTTCAGCAATTTTCATGGTTTTGGCGCAGCTCGGCGCACAAATAGGGAATTGTATCGAATTGGTGCAATTGGCCCAGCTGTTGCAGCCCTGCAAATTAGCCAGCTTTCATCACTCCATGGTGATTACCAGTGGGCACTCTCCAAAAATTTTAAAGTGGCTGTAGACTATTCGCAGGAAGGACATGCATTCACCCACTGGACTCAGTCGGCTATTTCACCTTATTAAAAAGTCAATTGTTTTGATTTTCATAATTACTGCCGTAATGACTGTTTTTGTGCATCTGAAGATGCCTTCTTCCACAGTAAAGGGAACGTTGCAGGTAGCACACAGATGCCTCCTTTCTGCAATTTTTAAATAATGTTGGACACATTTCTTGAAACACCCTGTATATTGCAACAGGATAGAAAGGTAGGATAGTTGGTAATTCATAATTGTTTCGTGAACTGCAAGTGCGGGAGAAACACACACACGGGCGCTCGTGTTGTGTGCCTACTCTTTGCTTCATGTGTGTGTTCCTACCTTGCTCACAGTTCGCTGAGCCCTGTATATACTGTTTCATACACGTGAAGGCTAGAGAGATAACTCACCCTGTTGACTAAACATAATGCACTGAACATGAAAGAAGCAAACAGGAAAGGGTGCAAAAGAAATGTCAGGAATCAGATGGCAATGAAACACACCTGAGGTCTGGCAGCACCAGCTGCCATAGGAGACAGTACCAAGGGCCGCCCTTGGTGGTGTTTCGTGAGGCAGGCGTTAGGGCTCAAGTCACCCATCACGCAAGATGCCAAGCTGGCCACATAAGCACGCAAGAAACTCTTGTGCACTGCACGCACACATGAAAAAAACAGAACAATACAGACACATTTGCATAGCAATGTCTTTGTATACACCATCAACAAAGGATCATCAGCTAGTGTGCCTTTCAGAGAAATGCTTCGCATTTATTGTAATGCTTGTTCAACACGTTGCAGTTCTTGAGTGCTCCTATGGCAATGAATGGTACCCTACCATTCTACGGGAAATCTTTATTCACATTCTAACTTTTGATGGCAGCAATCCCCACTTCTCTCAGTGGCAACGGCAAAAGTTAGAAGGTCAGAAGGGCATGCTCAATTGCCATACCGTTTGATGTGGCCACCTGAAGCAGGCTCACGGCCATGTTGGTGTTCTTGCTCAAGGTCCGGCACTCGGCAGTTACGGTCTTCACCAACTGTGACTTGGCCGCAGTTTTACTGAACTTCCGTAACACTTCTACCTGCCAGATTAAAATAAAAGCCTTTTGCATTTTTTTGCCTTGCAATAATAGGATTACTTGAAGGTTGAACAGAACAAATAGCAATGAACCACACTATAACTGATGCACAGACACAGTGATGCTAGCTTTTGGAGAAAACAGCTATTTTTCAATGGACAAAAACCTTACAAACAAATGCAAATTTTAAAAAGTTTTTAAAAACCATTTCAGGGACCCGATAACAGATCAATGTGCATGAGGTAAGCGAGAAATGTCTGCAGCTTCAAATGGCCGGCAATAATGTAATGGCCACAGTGAAGTGCCAACAGGATGCATAACATGAATTTGTCTAATTTGTTCTTCTTCACCTACAGTCCAAGCTGGAACTTGCATATATATCGTACATTAATTTACAAACGCTTTCTTACCATTCAGCCACAGATGCTCATTACTGATGTGCACCACATGAGCTAACACATGCTGTAGATTGTAAGAAATAGAATATCATGCTGAGTGAACAGATATTGCCTCAACAAGCATCAGAAGTGATATGCAATATCAAAACAAACACAGTAAAAAATAACCAATACATCAGAAATAACCACTATTTTAACAGCAGCAAGGCTGAAAAAAGTAGGCCCATACGGAGTTCAGACTAAAAAATATAACACCAACCTGATTTCTATGCGATCTGAGCCTCAATTGCTTAAATCATTAAAAAATAGTTTTCTCTCAAAATCTAACCAGCCTTCAGTGGATCGCAGCAACAAAGCAAATTATGTGATAATGTGAAGCAAATGAACATTGATTTTTCCACATCCCTTAACTTTGACTTGCCAGTCAATTTATCCTCGCACAAAAATGTGCTATAAGATTGTTATGTACAAGTTTCCTGTATGCCAACCAGGTGGATTATTAATGATAACTTTTCTTTTTTACCGACATTTCTGTACAATGTAGGCTTCACAAGGGCTGATTTTGCCACATTGTATGCCCATTCTGTGCTTTGGGTTGTAGTGCGATTCACCCACACAATGCGTTTTACTAGCCATTCGGTTAACACAGATGAAAGGGTAACCACTGCGCAAATGCATTGGTCCCAAGTTTGAATTTCAAACGAGAAATAACTTTTCATATATTCTGAGAATTCTTTTTCGAGCATTGCGTACAAATTTCTTGGCAGCTTACCACTTTAAGCATGCAGGTGAGATTGTTTCCCTTTTAGGAACCCCAAATATGTAACATAATTTTGCAATCGTGAGCATCCAAATGTTTGTTTATTGTGGAATGTGCCATCACCAGTTCATTGACCTCCGCAATCATAGTGTGCTATGCTCACGCAAACATGATAACGTCTTTTACAATGCACATCATTACTGAAATCGGAGACTGCACTTACACGTTTTTCTGAGTCACCCACAGATATAAGCTTCATGGCGACCTTTTCCTTGACCTCATCATGCACGGGGTAACCTTTGGCAATTATCCTAAAACATATAATGTAACAGCAACACCACAGAGCAGGAATTGAAAATCTTTCAAATTAGCAGTTTGAGCAATCAAAATTTGAGCAGATCCAAAGCACGCTTTGCAAGCTATGTGAAGCACAGTGTTAATCAAACAGTTCTTCAAAGGTTATAGTACAAGCAGTCATGCTCTGCACAGCGTTTTACAAGGCATGACGAGGAAACAATGAGACTATGCATCGTTGACTGCAGGATTGGCTCACCCTATTACGAAGCTGTGATCGCAACAGGTGAACAAAGTTAAGTGAGCCAATTCTACAGCTTGTTCAACAGTGAAGTGTACTCCATCTCATGATGCCAACCAAGTGGTGATGCTGATATGCTATGCTTCAGCATACAAGAAATCAAGAGCTTTCCTTTAACAAAAAAATTATGCACTAACAATGAAAACAGAAGTCTGATTGAGGAATGTAAAGTTTGAGGTCGTCGAAGCTGTGACCTGCTACACTAAAATACTATGACAATGCTTTCGAAAAATTTTTGGTCATATCTGAACAACGCCCTTTAAACCTAACATTAACTGGCTGTTTTGTTCTGGCAATGGGCCATTTGTGACAATATGTACATTCGATCATGCAGACAACGTTTGAATTAGTGCAGGTAAAGCTAAATTTTATATGACGCACATAATCACTTTCAGTGCTTTTAACTCCAATGTCATCACGAAGGTGTTGGCAAGTCTTATATTTTTGATGAGAGCAAGGTGTTATGTGGGTAGTGTAATGGTTTATATAGCATTTTTGACGAGAACAAAGTGTTATGTGGGTAGTAGAATAATTTACATTAGCATGCACCAACATGGCCTTAAAATTCCAACTGCGCTAATGCACAACCATAGGAACTTCGGGAAACTTCTTTCTTAGGTGCTCATTGCTTGTTAATATTGTGAGAATTCATTGGACTTCATCTTTCTCATCTGTCAATAACCATCATCAGTCTTCGCTTCGTCCCCCTTCATCATCTTACTGTTGCTTGAATAAAGCGTCAGCTGAACCGTAGTACTCCAAGTGGTGGAAGGTACTTCTTGATCTCTTCAACCTCTCTACATCCAAAGCCAGCTCCTGGAGCTCCGTTCGAGACGTTGCTTATGCCAGCAGAGCACCATGGCGCAAGAGCAAGCCCAACCGAACCACCCGCCAGCCCAACCACTCGCTGCCAACCCCAGCCTGGTCAACAACCCCCCTCGGGAGCCTCCAATCTTCTCCGGTCTGCCTGGTGAAGATGTCGAAGACTGGCTCGACAACTATGGCCGCACAGGTGTCTACAACAACTGGAACGAGACATCGAAATTAGCACGCGTTGCCAAGACATGGTTCCTAAATTATGAGAGTGGCTTCTGGGATTGGTCTTCCTTCAAAGACCAGCTCCGACGTATTTTCGGCACACCGGCCGTCTGTTCAGAAGTTGCTCGGAAGAAATTGGCAGAACGCGTTCAACATTGAGGTGAGAGTCCTACACTTCTTATATTGAGGATGTGCTTGCACTTTGCTGCCGTATCGACGACACCATGCCAAAAGCTGGTCGTGTCCGGCGCCTTCTGAAGGGTATCGGACCTACCGCTTTCAATGCCCTCGCCGCACACAACCCTTCCACGGTTTCCGACGTCGTCTCTGTATGCCAGCGGCTTGATACCTTGCAGTCAATCCGCCTGCGACCCGACTTCTCTGAGAACCCCCTGGCAAACAGTATGGAGCTCCGATCTATCATTCGAGCCATAATTCGTGAGGAATTGCAAGCCTACAGTGTACCTTCTGCTAACAACGTTCCTGCTCCACCCGTCTCTAGCGATTTGTGTGGCATTATTAGGGCAGCATTTCAAAGCCCCCACCATGCTCCACCTTGCCCCCAACCCGCTTCGTACGCACAGATCGCCTCAATGCAACCCTCGCCGTCTCAAGTACCATTACCTGTGCCTGATCACAATCATCTTGCACCTCTAGTCGCCCGTCCACCAAACCCTACCAACCATTCTTTTTGGCGGGCCCCACGGCCTATTTGCTACTATTCGAGGACACATTTCCCGCTTCTGCCGACGTCGGCAGCAAGATGAACGTCGTGGTTATGCCACTTTTGAACATCACGACACATGTGCTCGAGGTTACTACCGTTATGCCGACAGTCCTTCCAACCACCGATCTCCGTCTCGTGTGCACATTTCCAACACGACCAACAATACACGTGCCTCCCGACCACGCTCCCCTTCACAACTTTGACGCTCTGTTTCACCACTTCGGCCTGTCTCTCAACTGTCTGCCCAGCGATCGGAAAACAAAACAGTGCAGTTTTTAGAGAGAAAACTGCATCGCGGCAAAATAACCCAAGTCCTCCTGAACAACCGTCAAACATATTATTGGTGACTGTGCAAGGTGTGCGGGTGTTGGCTTTGTTGGACACGGGAGCAACTATTTCAGTTATGCGTGCCGACTTGTGATCTCCATTGTAGAAAGTGAAGACGCCCTACCTTAGATCATCTTTGATTGAGGCCAATGGAGCAATAATTAGACCATCGGCCCAATGTACAGCGCGTGTCTTCATTGATGGTATTCCTCATCGCATCACCTTCGCTCTCTTAATTTCTTGTGCTCATGAACTAATTTTAGGTTGGGACTTTCTCTCATTAGCATCTGCATTAATTTCTTGCCGTCAACGTGTAGTCCAGATGACCGAGACCGATCACTGCAGCAAACGCGTCGATGAGAAACCATTGCGTTTTTTCACAGCTTCCGATTCTATACTGCTCCCGGGTCAGGAGTAACTCATCACCACCACTTTTCCGAATATTGCCAATGGTGATGTCCTTATCACCCCTTCCAGCCACTGTCTAGCTCGCGACATTGTACTCCCCTTCAGCCTGGTGCGGTTTAAAGACAGCACTGCGCTAGTCCTTGGCCTGAACCCTACCCCAGAACCTGTCCTCCTACCCCAAGGTTCTGCAGTGTCGTGCTATGTGGTACCCAACCGGTACGTTTGTTCTCTCTTGACGCCTTGCAAGCTCAGCCACAACAAGGCCAGCCTGTTACTTCCTCCTCCTTCGCTCCCGGGATAAATCCCGACCTCTCTGCTTCTCAACGTGAGGGGTTGCTAAGTTTGCTAATGAAACACCAGGCCTCCTTCGACGCCAATGCTTCGGCACTGGGACAGACCACAGTTGCGCATCATCGCATTGACACTGAAGGGCAGACTGTTGTACGCCGTCGTCCCTACCGAGTCTCCTTGGCTGAGCGCAAAATCATCGAGCAGAACGTGACCGATATGCTAAAAAGAAACATCATATGACCCTCTACCAGTACTTGGTCATCACCCGTTGTATTGGTACAAAACAAGGATGGATCGGTACGATTTTATATTGATTACCGTGCGCTCAACAAGATTACCCGAAAGGATGCATATCCAATGCCCCGTATACATGATGCACTTGACTCATTGCAAGGCACCCAATCCTTCTCCACCCTTGACCTTCAGTCCGGATATAGGCAAATTCCAATGGACGAAGCAGACAAACAAAAGACCGCCTTTTCTATGCCGGACGGTCTTTACGAGTTTAAAGGGGTACTGTGATGTGATTGTGCGCATTTGAAAAGTGCGCCACACCATCAGCCTGAACCAAAGAGGACGATGAAGACGCTCGCTTGCGGCACGTGTGAGCATGAACATTTTGGGCCAATAAAGTGCCTCCACGGAGATTTAGGAGAGCCACGGGAGAAGAACAGCGAAGCCAAGCAGACGTGACCGAGTCGGGACCGAGTGAAGAAGGTTGCCAGGGCGCGGGAGCGGCGGCCAGCAGAGCTCTTGCATCAAGGTCCCAGCAGTCTCCCACCTGGACACAGAGCTTCTTCTCGTCACCTGACCTGGGCCAGGCTTGTTCTGGTCTTCTGGCTTTGGCCAAGAAACGTCTCCGGCTTCGTGTGCGAGCTGCGGCTATCAAACGCCGAAAGGTCACTGATTTCGACCAGCCAGACGCTTCCTTCCGTGCCAGTCAACTACGTGAGCGTCTCAAGCTATCACCAGTCTTTCCCTGCTGCACGAGTGCGTCTTCACTGTTACTCCATCGCATCAGTCGCAAGCCCCAGATCACCGCTGTCATCGTTTGCGTGAGTGCGTCCATGCCTTGGTAGCACAGCCTTCGCTGCAAGCACCTCGTCCCGCTATGTCGTGACAAGGTTTATTTTCCACTGAACATTTATGTAATGCACTGTTCACGTCTTTAGCTGTTTGTTCTTCTTGCTAACCTCTTTTTAGTTACGCATGCTGTGTTCTTTGTCTTTGTCTTTTAGGAATTTCTAAATATGTTGAGTGTTGGAGATTTGGGTGGAAGCAAATGGTCTCGTCGGCTTATTTCCCGATGACGGTTATGTCATCGGTTTTCTGTTTACACGAACCTACACGAGAGATTGCCCATTAAACGGCCTCGTGACAGTACTAACACAAAATTTCGGGGCCCGAGATAGCCTGCGGGGTCGATTCTCGTGAACATCTGTATACCATCTGCAAGATATCAACAGCGAATATAGGTTGGAAAGTATTTTAAATTAATTTTGAAGTTTGCGAGAGCGACCGACTCCATAGCACTATAGACACACTCGGAGTCGGAGGTGACCAACAGGTGACCCCCTATTTCCTTCATGTCGCCACGCTGCGGCCAACAAAACAAGTTATGATGACGCCATAACCCCCATTTTTCTTTTGCCGCATTAGTTTCCGAAGTCTATATTTCTTGGCGGCTGTTTCTGAGTGTGTGACCGTGGTGCACGCTTAGAAAGTTTTGTGTTTGGCAACATTCTAGTGCCATTTCCTATTCGAAAGTAATTCTTCTTGCGAATCGTGCGGAAGTGTGTCACAGTTTCATGTGCTGACGGGGTCAATAGTTGCACACGCAAGGTGGCAACAGTTGCACACGCTAGGAACTCTCTCAAACTGAAACTCAAACTGATTGATAATGAGGGGCCTGCAATAATTTATTT